CCCCCACGGCTGAAAGGGCGAGCATGTTTGGCGTGACAGGGATTCGAACCCGCGACCCTCAGATTGCGAGTCGAGTGCCTTAACCACCTGGCCATGCCGGGCCATTCAGTTTAAGAGACCAAAATGGGCTGCATTAACTTTTAGAATAACTTTTCATTTATGTCTTTAAATTGGAAGAAAAAGGGCAACCTTCGTTTTTCTGTTTTCTTTTTTGTGGGGATAATCAACAAAACATACATCCAATTAGAAAGAACAGATTATTTATTTTCACATTTAGCTCAACTTTGAATATATTGTAAGATTATACAACATATAATAGAGCAGAAGATTTGGTGTTACATTTTGCTCCAGTTTTAATGTTTTTAAAGGTTAACGTTACCGAACATAATATACCTTCAATTAAAGAGAACAAAAGATGTCGCATTTACCTATACTCTCAATACTTTCTAAGGTTATCCTAGCAAAATATAACATGGCTTATGTTTAAGAGAGGGTTTAGCTCCACTGTTAATGTGTTTTAAAGTTACCGTTACCAATCATGTGTTCGGTTTAAGAGAACGGATGATTTACTGTCACATTAGCTCCACTTTTGATGTGTTTTAAAGTTACCGTTATCAAACATGTGTACGGATTAAAAGAAAGGATGATTTACTGTCACATTAGCTCCACGTTTAATGTGTTTTAAAGTTACCGTTATCAAACATGTGTACGGTTTAAGAGAACGAATGATTTACTGTCACATTAGCTCCACTTTTAATGTGTTTTAAAATTACCGTTATCAAACATGTGTACGGTTTAAGAGAACGGATGATTTACTGTCACATTAGCTCCACGTTTAATGTGTTTTAAAGTTACCTATCATGTGTTCGGTTTAAGAGAACGGATGATTTACTGTCATATTAGCTCACTTGTAATGTGTTTTTTAACATTATCCTTACAAAATATAATGCACCTTCAACTTAAAATACCAGGCAGTACATATTCACCCTTAATTTTTTTTCTTTCTTTTCTTTTTGAGAGGAGAGAAGGGACATTCTTATTAAACGTAACAGATTTATAGTTTCGTGTTGAGTCTACTCACTGATTATAAGTATTATTTTATTACAAGTTACAGCTTTTAGAGTAAAGAAGAATATTTTTAATGCAGGTACAACGTTTCGATTACTGGTGTGATCATTCTTAAGTACACAAGTTTTTACGGTAAGAAAGGTAACTTTCTTTACCATTACATCTTAATGCTTAAGAATGATCGCACCAGTAATCGGAACGTTGTACCTGCATTAAAAATATTCTTCTTTACTGTAAAAGCTGTAACTTTCTTTACCATTAAATCTCATGTACTTAAGAATGATCGCACCAGTAATCGAAACGTTGTACCTGTTTTAAAAATATTCTTCTTTACTGTAAAAGCTGTAACTTTCTTTACCATTAAATCTCATGTACTTAAGAATGATCGCACCAGTAATCGACACGTCGTACCTGTATTAAAAATATTCTTCTTTACTGTAAAAACTGTAACTTGTGGTAAACAAAACATAACAGATGTTGAAAATCTATCCTTTTCTTCACTCTTTTAGCTTCTGCTGTTCTTAAAGCATTGATATCTTAACTCCTGTAAGTATGAACTGATAATTAGAGTGTAAAGATAATTATCCTAGAATTACATTTATTTGTAAATATGCAATGTGCAGCAACAATCAAAACATATAATAACTAACAGAATGTAAGAAAAACATTAACTTATTAATCGTCATAAGGGTTTCTTCAATCATTGTTTTACGTTTCGATTGCATGCTGCACAGGTTGGTTTGAAGCTCTTCACTCCAACTCTGTATTTCCATCATACCTTTTTCGAATAACAGCTTTAGCAGAAACTTTCAAGACATCCTTTCCATGTACGTGTGATTACAGTAAGAATTTCCAGAGCTAGTAGAATGTAGAAGAAACTGAAACCTCTGTGCATCACTTTATAGATTGCTGGCAACTTCTAACTCTCTGTTTGATTTTCCATATTCTATACGCAAAATCCACAGTTAATAATATTAGTAAGATATTAGACATTTTCAGTTTGAACAGCGTCTTATATGACATATGATATAAACAGCAGCAGATATCTCAAGGTTCAATCAACTTTAAGGCATTGATTGAAACTGATCAATAAACTAAAAGAAGATAGAAGAAAGTCGCGTGAAGTAGGTTTAGTAGAAAGAGTAAAGTTATATTTATGTAACATCAAACTTTGGAATAACATCGAAAACTATTTCATAACACATTGTCTTAGTTTTAGTATGTAGACTAGTATAAAAATATCGGTTTTATGTTAATTAATAACAACAAAAACAAAGGTCACTACAATGAAGTTTGTTTTTTAAGATTAACACTAATAATAATAAAAATTAGCATCCAGTAACTAAACTTGGCAAGTCAGGGAGATTTGCTTTATTTCAGATATTAAATGTTATATTACACATGTACCTAACATGTACATTTACACCAGGTCTAGGAGTTAATTTGTATGATTATATACTAGCAAAATCAGTAGATTGAAAACGTTATTAGACACTAGCTAATCGGGGTGCCATTCTCTACTAAACCAACATTGCTTCTTTTGCATCGACTGAATTATTGTTTGTTTTTTGGCAATTATTCGCCATGGTATGTTTTTACCATCACCACACACACATTTCACACAGTCTCTGACAAGTTTCTCGATGCTATTTCTATACTTTAATATAAAGCTACGCTTAATTAGTATTATCATATACACTATTTAAAACAATGTTATTCATTTTTGACAAGGGTTTATATACAATATAGCATTTCTAAATGTTCAAAATCAGCCTAATGTATTAATCTTTCTTCACGTAACGTTTCATGGCTCGCTCAATATTTAGTCGATGACCAACAAGTTTCACTCCTAATCCTACCAGATCATTATTGTCCATGTTAGCTAATTTTGCTCCATTTATTCCTGCCTCTAGAAAAGCTGATTTATATTCAGATAAGAAGAGACTGTCCAGCCACTCTGATACATCTGTAATGGACCAGTCCTGCAGCAATTTTCGACGGAACTCTTTTTCTTCCGTTTTTTGAGTTGGTGGTTCGCTTGGTAATGTCACTGCTTGAGTTGTGCCAGAAACCATACGATATTGCTTCAAAGAACAGTCCTGTGCAAGTGTCTGCCGATCGCCTGAAGACACACACCTTTTTGTTCCTGAGCTATTGATTACAGAATAGTAAACATCTTTTTCTTTGAATATGTAGTTAGGAGCACAGTGTCCTATGAAATTACTCTTTAAATCCGAGTAACTCGACTGTGATAAAAATCGCTTCTTTCCTTCGGCGCCCAACCCAGTTGCGCTATCACTAAATTCTGGAGGTGGGGATATCATCGCTGCTAGGTGATCGTCTGGTGGCGTAAGGACAGTGAACTCTGGTGGAGGAGGCAGAAATTGTAAGAGACCACCAGAACTAGAGTTCTTATTTATCCCTGAACTTTTAGACTTAGATGAAAGGCTGTCTATAACTAGGCTTCTTTGTTGTGGCCTTTTTCTAGCTCTTTCAAGAAATCCTTCAACTGGAAGTTGTTGATAATGTTTCTCACTCAGTGACTCTCCAAACTGCAAGGAATATTTACCTTCCCTTTTGGTTATGTTATTAATATAACCATTGGTGCTGGAGACGTATACCTCATCTTTAGGAGAATGTTTATATTCTTCCCTGTCCTCTTTTGCTAGATCGTTCGGAAATGAGCGGGAAGGTCTAATTGTTCTTCGTGCAGAGATGGTGCCCTGCTCATTAATCTCAAAATTAAAACTCCTGCGATTTGGAAGGGTTGAAGATCTAATTACGTGCTCATGAATTGACTTATCAGGTTTATGATTTTGTACTGGCTCAAAAGTAGACTTTTCAGTCCTCTTATTGAAGTGTTCACTCCTGCCACGGCTGTCTTTATGAAGGTCTGCATAAGAATATAAGTGAGACTGGTAATTTGAATGAGACTCTCTTCCTGATATAACGAACTGAGAGTTTTTGTTCAAAAAAGAATAACCCACAGATGATGGCTGTGAACTTTTGTGATTGTAAAACAGTTGTGGTTGACTTGAAGCCTGAAAATAGTTGTTTTTCGAGTCACATTTTTGAGGGTTAAATTGATACCTTCCACAAGGACTAGATCGGCTAGAATCGACTTGGGGCATCATAATTCTTAATTTTTCTCCTTCTGAATGAAATTTCCAGGAATTACAATTCAATGTACTTTCATCACTTTTTCCAAAGGTAGAAAGTTTCCCAGCCTTATTTAAAAACGAGGAGAGGTCTTCTTCCTCACTGCTGTCAAACTCTAGACCTGGAGGAAAATGATCATGAGGTTTTGGATTTAGCACTGGAAAATGGTTTGGGCTGCCAAATCTACTTTGATTTCCTAATATACCTTTTACTTTGAAATGTCTGGAACCTGCTGATCGTTGCTTTTGAGAATTTATTAAACTACCGTAAAAACCACTTGCATCTCCACTGCTTTCTGATTCTGACGATGTTTGGTGTCTTACGTCTCTGGGTGGCACAGACTGGGGCCGAGTGTGATGTGTAATCCTGCTGTGGTGAAATGGTTTATAACCAACAGTCATCACTGACTCGGGAGAAGCGTAAAGCTTAGCACTATCACCTGGTCTAAAGCTAGACATGGGCGCAACCTCATAATTTCTGATAGCATACACATTGGCATATTCACCTTGTACCTTAGAAATGTCAACCTGCACAACCTGCCCCCGAGGAAGAGGTGGAGGTGGCTGACTGGGTGGTGGAAACTGTTGTCCAGATACCATTGTTTCAGCATATACTCCCAGCCGCACTTCTTCATTTCTGGCTCTTGCCGACTGTGACCAATAGGCATTTCGTTCATTTATGAAACTTTGCTCATTATTAGCATTTGTCCAAATTGGCCAATGTTTATGTTTAATAAAATTTGTTTTCTCAGTTTTCAAATCAGTTAGTTTACGTTCATCAGAAAGTACAATTTTACTATTTAATCCAACTGACTGTGAATATAATTTTAGTCCAGTGGCAGCTTCTTTGACTCCTCCACCACTCTTTTTGTAATTATGTGGAGGGCAAGCCCATGAATGTACAGGAGTTTTACCATTTAACGAACGAAAGGTATCGCAACTTTGACTACGGTTGCAAATATATTTTTCTCTATTTCTAACTGCACAATTAGATATCTTTACCAAATCTGGACAACTATAAAATCTCTTGTAAAATGAACAAGGTTGGATTCTATCCAACAGAATATCTAAATCACGAGCTGCTGTTATTGTTTCATCGCCAGAAGAATTGGTGGTGGATGTAGTTTCTTGTAGTCGAGATTCAAGACTTTGCTGTTCAGCTGATGAATGGCTTGAGCCTTCCTCGCCCGAAACGATAAAACTGCTTCTTGCTGACCTAGACTCAAAATAATAATCCTGAAGTGGATCTTCTAAAGAATCTGAAACAAGAATATTTGGAGCTTTAACTGGTATAAATATACATATCAAATTAGTTGATTTTATAATAAAAATAAAGATACAAACAAAATATAACCTGTTAGTTTAAAACAAATTCACCAAACTAATTTAATGAAACACTCAAAGAATACGAAAAATGTTACACATAGCAGCCTTAGTAATTGCAATGTCAGTAATGTGTTGGAAAACAGTTGCAAAAACGTGGTCGTAGTTATACAAATTGAATATTTGTTTAAAATGTTTTACAAATATTCCAGGCAATGAGCGCCATATTGTAAGCAATTAATGTTCTTGTCTTTAGGACAAACTTGTCAACCTGTTACAGATGTAAACTGAGGCTATCAGATTGATTGTAATAATAAAGTTATTGAGTTGATAACGAAAGACTGACCGAAAACAGTGACGAAAGTGTTGGCATACTGTTGTAAGAAAGTTAAAATTACAAAGTATATAAAGTTTTGGATTAAAATATTTTAATTCTACCAAAATATGTTCGATGATAAATCATTGTTTGTTTTTTTAAATAATTATTTTATGTAATATTGCTTTAAATATAAAATATAAATAACAATAATATCATGCTGTGTTGGAAGAAATAATTAGTATTTATATCACTAAAAAGCATACTAGAACAAAGTGATGTGAAGTGTATGAGAATGACAACAGAGAGATAAAAAACAAGACAGTAATATATCTTTAGCTTTGGAAAGGTTGAACTTCCAGAAACAAACCTTTCAGAACAAAAACCCACAACAATCACGTATAATTCTTAATCGAATCTGAGTGTGTCCTCTGCAGATTACTAATAATACTTTTTAAATTAAAGTATGATTTATTAATTTTTTGCCTCCCCCCCAGTGGCACAGCGGTATGTCTGCGGATTTACAACGCTAGAATCCGGGTTCCGATACCCGTGGTGGGCAGAACACAGATAGCCCATTGAGTAGCTTTGTGCTTAATTACAAACAAACAAACATTATTATTCTTTTAAGAATAATTTATTAAAATCAGATTACTGTTAAAAACCTGAGCCCAAAGCGAAAAACCTACTTCCGAGTTTCTAGGGTTTTTTCGTCTTGTAATAAGTATAGTTGAGTTTAATCAAGGTTTTTAATCATAGTTGCTCATTCTATTCTCTTCTTTGCCATTTAGTTTCAAGGATTCATAATATATCGTTCTGTTTCCTATATTTCCAGTAAAACCTCTTAAGAATTTATCGTGATATGTATGTTAATTATTTTAGTGGTTTAACGTCACGTTAATTTTATTGTTACCAAGGCTTGAGTTAGTACATGTGTTAGTTACAATACTAATATTAACAGAAGTAATTATAGAAAAGTAAGGGAGTAGTATTTTTTGCTTAATGACTGTCTTTGTAGAATTAGTGCATATGTTAACTACAACACTAACATCAACAGACGTAATCCCAGAAATGAAATAAATTAGTATTTTTTGGTTAATGATTGTTTTTGTAGAATTAAACTAACTGGTAAGTAACTAGAATATCTTATAAGTAAGCTATTAAATATCCGACAAACATGGTAAAATAACTTGCGACTAAAGAGCTAAAATTCATGCATTGTAACCACGACCTCCCACTTCAAACTTTACAAACCTTCTGCAACTTGTAAACATAACCTGCTTCTAACTAGACTATGATATGCTGTTCTTCATTTTGTCAACATAATTTCACAATCTTCTTATTTCATGATGTTTTTCCTCTTGCAAACACAACTTTCCAATTAAAATCTTAGTGTTGCAAGGTTGCAAGTACTTTTATGCGGCTAATAATTACATGATGTACTTGACGTAGCAAACATGAACTCCAGTTAAAGCTTTACAAGACATTTGAAAAAAAATCAAACATGCCTTACATAATTTGCTTGGTAGGTTTTTAATTTATCTCGTTACAGTTTAAAAGTTTCTGCAGGTTTGTGATGTTAATTCTACAATTGAATAAGCAGAACAGTTCATTGTGCTTTAACAACGCCTTCCTCAGCTGAAACATTATACAATGTCCATCATACCGACAACATGTGTCCTTTACAGGTAAAGATTTACAAGGCATTTATCTACTTGACAACACATTAAACAGTTACAGGATTTTTATCACCTTGACCAAACACTAAACAATTACACTATGTTTATCGCTTTGACAGCATACTAGACAAGATTTTTATCTCCTTGACAACATACTAAACAGTTATAAATTTTTTATTGTCTTGACAACACGCTAAACAGTGACATGATGTTTATCTACTTGACAACACACGGAAAATTGCTAACTACGACCCTAAACCAGCTTCTGTAGCTGAGTTGCAGCGCCTTTTAGTGACAAGTTGGGATGAAATCACGGTGGATTACATCAATAACCTCATCGACAGCATGACAAATTGACTTGCGGAGGTTATTAGAGTACGAGGAGGACCAACCAAGTACTGAATGTTTAATAGAACTGATATAAAGTTACAGACGCTATTTATAATAATTTGATATTATATTTTGTCGTTACATATGTTTTGGTAAGGTTTTGTTGTGATAGATGAAATGCTGAATTATAGGTATCTGATAAAATTGTTTGCTGTTCCAATATTTCGTTCATGATGTCCATAGAACCTGTCTCATTATACCAATTACACATGTAGATGCTTAATATAACATGTATTTCTCAGCTTGACAGAGCTAAGTGTATTTGTATTTCATCTTAATAAGAATGACCTTTTTTATAACAAAATATGCAAATATTTTAGCTAAGACTGTAAGAGTAAACTTTAGATGTACAAAACAAATAGTACACTCTAATATAAATAAAGTTAGTAAATAAGTATCTGAGTAATTAATGTATCTTTACTTGTGTATTTGTGAAATAGAAAGATTAATTTTAACTCTAGTTTTGCCCCCCAGTGGCACAGCGGTATGTCTGCGGACTTACAACGCTAAAATCTGGATTTCGATACCCGTGGAGGGCAGAGCACAGATAGCCCATTGTGTAGCTTTATGCTTAATTAAAAAAAAAGAAAAAACTCTAGTTTTATGAAATATATATATACTCATCCATGGTAGTGGAAATAATTATGGAAACACACACACAATACACATACCGGAGTCTCAAACAACGAGTGACGGCAATGAGATTGTGCATTTCTTAATGTACAAAAAATAATCACAGAAAATACAAAAAAAAAGTTATGCAAAACAGTAGTATTTTTTCTGTGAGCCCTTTGCTTTACATAGAATTAAAGTTTGTTTTCATACTGTCATACAGTTTACTAATGTACGATTGTACAGTACTGTTCAAAATGTTTTGCAATACTTCCTAAAATTGAACTAAATTATTTGGTCGCTTTTTGACCTTTTCATTTTTTTATATAAACGATTTGGTACTTTAAGACAAACTATTTTCCTCAACAGATTCGGTAGTTTCTGCTAACAACAATATGTTCGACAAGGAAATGTTATGACGATTAAATTTGTGTACTGACTTTTACCGTGTTCAACAAAAAGGAGACTGAACACCATGTGACAAAGTGAAAATCAATCTTTATTCACTCAAATCAATCAAATGGGCACGTAGACGGGACAAAAGTCTGGAAATCTAGATTTACTTGACTGAAAAACTTTTACTCGTTAAATTAAAAAAAACAACTAAAAATTACTCAGTTTTACTTATTTGTTAAGTTTGAGAACTTGACTTATTAAACTGAGAACTAAGACTGTTACTTAGCCTCTTACATGAAACAGTACTTGTTCCAGACTAAGATAACATAGCATTATGTAGAAAGTTCAATAATGCTAGCCATCTCAAAGTGCATCTTCAATGGTCATTCCATTAGGAAAATATGGGAAACATGCAAAAGTACCCATCTCCAGTGACGGAAAAAACGTAAGTTAATCTATCAGTTTCAATTATTTCATGGACTTTAAAAAGGTTAAATCTATTGCACTCTTGGTTTCGCTCAGAGCCAAAGCTCGAAGCTAATTATACCGCCCACCGTGAAAAGTAATTGTTGAGTATTTCAGTCATAGTAAGAGCCAGTAAACAATAACATATGGTAACTCCACATTTTTATTCTTAATGTTACGTCACATTTTAAAATTTGAATGATAGTGTGATTAATTCCAAACAATTCAGTGTAGAATATCCTGCTTGAGAAATAGAATTTAGCCTCGACATTATTCATACATGTTCTCCCATCATTTCAAAGTGAATGTTGAGCTTTGCCTGTGTGCACAACTTTTCGAATGGGACACAGACGGCAAACATCACGGTTCGCAATAAATATATACATAAGATACATCCTCAAGGTACCACTCGAAAACATCACTGCCTGCCTTGACATGGTGTATCCTACTTAACAGCATTTTTTATCATGAGAAAGCACATAAGGGAATGACTCAATAGAAAATTAGAGTGAAAGGAACTTAGTCATATTCCTTGAGTATCACTTCATGTTTAAAACCACACACAGCGCTAGAAACATGTATGTGTGAAAAAATTAAAATTCTTGGTGACCTTGAAATGATCACCTTATTAACCAAAGAGGGTATGAAATATTAGGTATGTTTCTTATATCACACCCATACAATCTTAAGAATGCTCATATACGGACTCTGTGCCGGACAAGTCATGGTTATGGGTATTCCACCAGTCTCTTTATCATCAATTTTTCACATAATCAGATTTGCTGTATGCTTAGGGTCATTGTCCTTGTGGAAGGTGAAACCCCACCCAATGAGTTATGATGGAGTATAATATGCATGCACTTGTTAACCGTGGCATAGCGGTTCAGAGAATGCTCTGAGTTTTATTCTTTTTTTCTTTTCAAGTACAAACTTTTAGCTCGTAGCTCCATCATCTCTTGATCGATTTGAGATCTAATTATAGTTTGGGACTTAGGAGGTCAAAACCCTTCGATTAATGTATTTGACCATGCCCAAAGTCTCATATATTAATTTACTCTAACCGTGCCTAAAATAATTTCAATTTGAGAGTAGGCTGGTAGAGATCCTGATGAACAATAAAACCGAATTGGGTATGTGCGCTCACCACGCTTGGTATTGCTGGCACACACAAAATATAGCTAATAAAGAGGAAAATAAAGGTCTCATAGATTAACTTACTCTAATCCTGCCTAAAAGAATTTCAAGTACCGTGGTTATTGAGAATGCCCTCTTGTCCACAGTCAGGGTGTCATCAATTTTGTGTAGAGCACCGACATCACTGACTGATAAGCAGTCCCAAAATTGAACTGACTTACCACCATGCTTCATTGTAGATGTTGTACGTTGACTATGATACAGTTCTCTTCTCTGCTGTTAAATATACTATCATTGATTGTTTCCAAACAAATGAAACTTCGATTCATCTGTAAAGTGCACACACCCCCAGCTTTGTAATTATTCGAAGATCATTTCAATGTTTTGGTTTGGTTACATTTTGTCAGTGGCAGTTTTCGAGAAGCTAGATGTCTGTTAAAACCAATTTATGCTAATGTGTATCTCATTGTTCTCGGCTAATATTTACATCTCTATCTACAGCTAGGTTGTTGCCAAGGTCTGTATGGAACCATCATCTATCTCATAAAAGATATATTTTAAGATACTTTTGGAGTTTGTGGTTTTGTACTTCAATAACTTTTATTATTAACAGAGCCAGTTCCATGTTTTATTAAGAGTTGTATGCAAGTGTATATGCCTTGACATAGTTTTTCACACGAAATACCCTAGACTAGCCACAACTTTTATTTCTACATTATTTTCATGAGATATTTCGATCCTAAGTGTCATGACTGGATTCATACTACTACCCGTGGGTATAATATCATAGCTTATACTTTTATAGGGTATATACAGGTGTTGCATATCTTAATTGGTAGAATGACAACCAATTACAATATAAGCTGCCAACACATGACTGTACTCTGGCGCAATTCATTTTAACACGATAAAGGAGTGACATTCTTATGGTATTCGCTTGTTATAACCTTTTCCTTAATACTTTTCATAATTATTTTCAGCATTCTATAATTCATGTTAATTAAAGGATATGCAAGTATGTTATTTACTTCCTAGGTTACAACCTTTGTATATTTCTACATTATTTTTTCTTCATAACAGCATGAGACTGTTCCACATAAAGTTGATCTCACTTTATATGAACGATTTATATATGTTAATACAGTGGGATATCCCTGCAAGTGCTCTAATCACCGCCATATGAATCCTGCTCCTTCGGAAAATGGGATTGAACCTCATTGCATATTCTCTCCAAATGAATATGCACCTGTTATATAGTTGCAAAGTGAAGCATGATTCGTCTGTAAAAAGAATGTCACTGCGTATGTCATTGATCCACTGTACATGTTTTTGGAACCATGGAAGGAGTGTACTGTGCTTTGTTATGGGAGAAATGCACCTCATTCGACTCTGTTATACGGGTCTGTTTTAACCCACTGTAAAATACCTAGTTGTAGGTGTGAACTTCTAATTCAACTCTGGAGCAGGTATCATACACTTACAGCGATGCAGGTTCGACATTCGTTTGCTTGTGTTGTGAATGGTGCCTTGTTCAGGCGGCAAATGAATTGTACCATTTAGTTCCACTTTCTCACACGTTTGTAGCAAACTGGAAACATCGTGTTATGATAAGTCTAACAATTCTGCACGTGAACGAAACATACCGATATTTTCCGGAGAGTTAGTCGTGGCTCAGGAACAATTTAAAGAACTTTGAGATGTGTGATCTACTTCAAAGTGAATAACTGAGAAAAGACTGTGTAAGACCGCGACATATGTAAGCTGAATGTCCAATCATATGCCTGATCATTAGATGCCAGATCTGCGTAACAATGAAGTGAGAGGAGCAAATGACAGTATCTTATAACAGTGACATAGCGGCTCATAGAATGGCTCCGAGTATTTTTTTTCCAAGTACAAACTTTTAGCTCATAGATCCATCATCTCTTGACCGATTCGAGATCTAATTACAGTTTTGGGCTCAGGAGGTCAAACCCTTTCGATTATTATATTTGACCAAGCCCAAGTTCTCATACATTAATTTACTCTAATCCTGCCTAAAATAATTTCAATTTGAGGGTAGGCTAGTAAAGTTCCTGATGAATAATAAAATCGAATTGGGTATGCGTGCGCCCCATACTGGCGCACAAAAATATAGCTAATAAAAAGGAAAAAAAAAGGTCTCACATATTAATTTACTCTAATTCTGCCTAAATGAATTTCATGTGCCGCGGCTATTGAGGATACCCTCTTGTTTAGAGTTATAACATTACAAATTCCGATTATCCTTCGTTTACTTACTTTTTTATCAATAGCAGCGTTATCGTTTTACTTGGGTGAATAATTTGCTGGAAATATCCACCTGGTGGTGAAAGTATAAATTTGAAGTTTATTCAAGTCATTTCAAATAATGGATCATTAATAGCTGAAATATAACTTTAAAAAATCATAGCTCACCAATGTCTGCCAGTCCGGTTACCATAGACCTAGCTCGGGCTCTTCCGAAAGATAAAGTGGTCCCTGGGTCACGTTTAGGTGGCGCTGGAGCTGTCTCAGTATAAGAAGATTAGTTATTTAATACCAAGGCTCAAAATAGATCATAAGCTCTAAATTATATATTTTTGATATGTTTTTGTTGTTGTTTTCTTTATTCCAGAAGTAAGAAAAATAAACTTATGAACGAGAAAAAGTGATGAGTTTGAAAAGTAAGTTTATTTAAATCGACCTTAAACATAAGTGTATGTTAGCATCACTTTCAAAATCCATACAATAATTTTCAATTGTACCTGTCTATATTGTATTTATCTATATTTACTTGATTTTTGAGCTCCTCTCACAACGTTTGACAAAATAACTTGAATTCTGCGTGTAGGCACTTGGCACCGATTAAATCTAAACGAAGAAAAAAAAAAGGATTCGAAGCCATCATGAGGAGCTCCGAAACAGGAGGCCATGAGGTTTTGGGGCTCTCATTTTGACAGAACTGACTTTTTTACTATTGTTATTAGCATCTAAGGATATATTCAAAACAGTAATCTAAGTTCAAAATTTGAACATTTTCAATGTTGAACAAAGAGTTTAGGATTGATTATAGTTAATTACATTAAAATTGGCTTAAACTTGTAAGGGGTCGTTCAAAATAAATATTTAAATTTTCATACTGAAAGACCCCCCTAATGGAGGATCAAAAGTATTTGGAAGCTATCTTAATTAGCAACATGGATTTACTTGAAAACCTACAACAACATGTAAATGAATGATCGTGGTATGCAGGCTTGTTGCGAAAGTGTTTTGTTCCTCGTGACATTTCACCGGCAATTTATGATTGGCGCATAAAATTCACTTCGAGACATAAAATCAGTTTATTCCGAACCTTATATTAATAGTGCAAAATATTCCATTGTTTACTGTGATTGCTATAGTGTGTGCTTCACATTATTATTATTTAACACTCTTTAATTAGAAATTAGTAACTGGATATAAAGGTACACATTATTCTAATATTTTTTCTTACTCTTAAGTCTATTTTGTTGTGAAACACTTGGTTCAATTTATGTGCAGATCAGCATATTAATGTCACCATTGCAGCCAATGCCTAAAATATTATCAGCCTTGTATGAGAGTAAAATAATAGCGTCTATTACTAATTATTTGAAATACCATATTTTTTTTTATTATTTCATTAGAGAAAATTTTTAAATAAGTGTACTACTCGTCTGAAAATTATTATTCTCTGGACAGTTGTATTCAGTTTTAAATAACTTGCTGCGTGTTATAAATATTTTTAATGTGTGACCAAAAGTACGGCCAGTTATGGGCCCGGGATGGCCAGGTGGTTAGGGCACTCGACTCGCAATCTGAGAGTCGCAGGTTTGAATCCCCGTCCCACCAAACATGCTCGCCCTTTCAGCCGTGGGGGTATTATAATGTGACGGTCAATCCCACTATTCGTTGGTAAAAGAGTAGCCCAAGAGTTGGCGGTGGGTGGTGATGACTAGATGCTTTCCCTCTAGTCTTACACTGCTAAATTAGGGACGGCTAGCCCTTGTGTAGCTTTGCGCGAAATTCAAAACAAACAAACAAAACTTGCACCGATTTTAGCGAAGCCCTGATACCGTATTTGCTGGTGTATAAGACGATCTTTTTGCTCTTAAAACAATGCCTGATTTTATCTCTCGTCTTATACACAGATTCAAAGATTGAATTCCAGTAAGAACTCTCCGGTTAATAGCATACTTAACCAAAACTACGTTGTCCCTTTTACTTTTGTTTACCTTTCAGAGCAAGCGCGTTACAATAACATATTTGTAATTGTATCATTTGTCTCGATTCTCCATAACTTGATTTTATTTACTTCACACGTCAGTTACAATTAATCAAGACATATTTGGCTTGAAATGTATTGATCTCATTGTCATACTTAAATATTGAGAGTCAGTACTAATTTTGTAAACATGTTTTTATTGTATCACTATATCTTAAAGTTTAGTATTTTGCTGTAATAGAAAAGCTCAACTGTGATGAAAACTTTGTAAAGTTGTTTATTAGATGTTTATGAATTAAGTTATGCCTCATTGAGCTGTCTCTAGCATTTGAAGAGAATAAAAAAAACATTTGTAGTTGTATTGATTACTCTAGAGCGCAAGTTAACACAGTTTAAAAATGTCTTCTAAGAATTTCTTTACAAAAGTAGCATCCTAGACTTGCTTGACAATAGAGGTCGTCCTCTACATCGAACCTTAAAGAAATACATTTAATTTTCTCAAAAAATCAGGGTCGTTTTATAGACCGGCAAATATGGTATATATAAAACTAGGGGTAAAACTCGTATTTTGAATACGAAGTGTGTGTGTATGAGTGTGGTATTTTGTATTTTAATGCACAAAGTTTATAAAATGTAAAAGCAATGCTGTATATTTAAAGTAATTAAAACAGTTAATTGACCTGCCTAGACTACTCGTGTATGAAGAAATTGACACACAAAATCTTTATACATAAAGATGAGGCTCTGAAGAATGGCAGATCCACTTCCAAAACACCTTAACTTGATAATGCATAGTACTATCTACACCCACCTCCCTTTTACGCAAACGCCGTCCGTAATCCCTACTTCTAATTTCATTTTTGCATAGTTTAATGAAGTTTAAAAACCTTTCCACGCACACATACCCATTATTTTTTTCATTATATAAATGTCGGCTTCCTCATGTATAAGGTCAACAGAAACATGCCAGTTCATTAGCGTGGATTTAAGTCAGTAACCAAAACAGTCACTGAAGCTCCCCTAATTACACTTCTTTTTAACATCCGTACTTGTCCATTAGTGTTTGATGGCTTTCAAGGAAATCGACTTCATAAAGTGTAAATAATCATATTTCGAAGAGAAATAGAGCCTGTCTTTGCCATATCTAGTATCACTTCTCACCCAATCAGGGCAATTATCATTTTAAACCTATACACTTCAATGTGTATCTCGGAGCTTTAGCGCCAAGTTTATACGTTCTTGTAAGTTGACAAATGGTAGTTGTAATTTGCTTCTAGTCTTATTTGTACTCTACATTTGAAGATTGCGAATTGGGCTTAACTCTTACAGACGGTGTACCTTGTTGCCTACATCTCTAACCAGGACACATTTTGCTTTCCTCGGTCCTTTCCTTATGTTATGGTTTTATTTGTTAGTTTTCTGTGTGTGACGACTTTTTTTTTTTGGATCTGGTTGTTTGACTTAAATAAAATTTGTAACCTATTTTTGTGTTATGTAAAGATATATAAATAAATCAGCTCATGTTAAGTGACAAACCCACACTCTAACATGCTCGAACATGAAATTCTGTGCAATTAGCTTTCATTGGTTTAGCTCGACCATACTGTAAACAATAAAATAGATACGCTTCGTGAAAAGTTGAGTTTATTAGGGTCTTACACACAAAACCGGTTGCATTAAACTTTTTTTGTTGTTTAGATCTTACCTTTCTTAAAAGATAATCTCCTTGGCACTGTAGCACATTGTCTCTGATTAAGAGGCCTTCTTGTTCCCGGCGGGTTGTTGACCGTTACCACTGTCATGGCAACCAAGTCTCCTGACTTCCGTATGATGGCTACAACTTGGTCGTGCGTAGCTTGAGTGACGTTGTGTCCGTTAATCTGAAGAAGATATTTCAACATTCTCACAGGCCATGAAGTACACCATTCCATAGATAACAAAAGTTTTTAAAAACCTAATTTCCGCTGCAAGACGGCTTAAGATAAATTTTCATTTCAAAGCACAATAAAACCTTACATCATCCTCTATAGTAAGAAAACACTTTCTTTCTTTTTTTATTTTATTGTGAACACATGAAACGTAAGATGTGAGGAGAGAATTCCTGGGAGAGGGTCAAAACTCTGAAAATTATCATTAACTTCTGTTCAGAGCAAGCAACTATTTATAGAGATAAGAATTAAAATTGAATCCACTAATAAGTATGCTAATTTAATACACCGTTCTTACTTATAATAATAAAAATGCGTTGATTCAAAAATTGGGTATCTTCACTGTTAGCGATATTTTTTGTCCCAGCTCACGTGGTTCGAAGCCACTTTAGAAGATTTGGTTTAGCACAAAATCTATACACAAACCTAACGATGCAAAGTAATCCTCATAATAAACAATGTACAATATATATATATATATTGAACAACTTAATCTATATTGTTAATATACAGACGCCTCCTGACAAATTGTGCCACAAATAGCTACGACTGCAGGGATTTTCAAGATTCAACGATAAAAGAGCCTTTCTCCTGAACAAATTGAACCCAGAAAATTATAATTCTATTAAGAGCCATCAGCTGTGGTTGTCACGTGAATAATAATGGTACACTCTCCTAATTCTTGAAAATCCCTAAAGGATTAGAAAAAGAATGTAGTGTTCAAAAATATAATAGTCCTAATACTAATGTCTTATGACGAGTATATTTAACTACAGTTATGCTTCGCCAAATTGGAAAAAGGCGTTCGCACCATAACAGTTGTTCTTTTAACAAATAACGTATATAAATAGTGTTCTGACTAACCCCCCCCCCTTCAGTGGCTAATGTACATTCACCGTAACATATAGACATTTTCATATTTACAGACATGAAATTGTGCAGAAATTTTTCCGGAGGGGGGGGGGCAAAGTAGTGTGAAATTCTGAATTGAATAAAAAATTCATATACATATGCTGAATGAATAAAGAAAGAGTTATGTTTCTCATTTTCCAGGTGGGGGCAAGTGCCCCCTCTTGCCCCTCCATACGGACGCCCTTGTTTACAGATAACATATTAAATTTTTACATAACTTTTGGGGTAGCAGTAATTTTACAAGAAACATACTGTTTAGTGTGTAGATTTGTCAACTTTATTAGAATATATTCTGAATCCAATGAGAATGTGGGTTGATACTTTCGAATAAAGAGGCATTAATACTGAGTCTAAAGACGAATTTTTAAGATTGGTAGATAATTTTTTGAAACTCTTACCCAAAGAAGGTTCTTTGAGTTATTTTATAACTGTGAAAAACTGTATTTTGCTTTACTGCAACGTATATTCTCGTATTAAACCTAAGTCTTTGGTATCAAGTTTAGTGAGGACGGTTAATGGAAAACAGAAAGTAACATGAATCTAAATTGGTATATGCTTTAGCACTCTAACTGATGAGTTGAATACGCTATCTAAATTAGATAAACTGATAAGTTTTCCGTAATTATTCAAGTGAAACAACAACTGTGCAAAAACAAAGTTGCATTTTTTAACGAATATTTCATATATATGTCAATTTTCATGTAACTCAGTGACACCAGTCCCGAGAGCACCCATAACCTTCTTGATATCCTTGTTTTGGAGGTCCAGTATGAACAATTCGTAAATTTAAGCGTGAACAATTATTAAACGATCCCTTACATGTCCTTAATCAGTTGTTACAAGGTACAATGTAAAAGACAAACCTCTAACACAAAATCTCCTTTTTTCATTCCTGCTTGATCTGCAACGCCCCCTCGATCTACATCATCAAGATACTGCAGACTTGGCCAAGCATAAGTTCTTTGTCTCTCCATTAGAGGGCTGGTTGCTGCAAAGCAAATCGTGCAATATTAGATGTAAAAATGTTTGTACATATCAAATACATCTTTTAAATAGATACCATATAAAATTAAAAATGAATATTAAATATACGATATGTATTTATCTAATCAACATCCGATTCTATAAATGATGGTTGTACTACTTGTTTCTAGAAATTCCATTAACTCTTACTTGATTACTTTGTAACCACACACATATAATGAACAGTTTGCGCTATTTGAATGATTATTAAATAACAGAGAAAGAAAATAATCTGAACAAATGTTCCGAAACAGACTGCATTTTAATGTAAAAAAACACTGACACCAGGGGTTGTTTTGACTCTCAGACTTCTACTAAAAAATTGCTCTCCTATTTAAATCTAAAATGGCACCCCTTTTGTGCATGTATTAATACCAGTACGATGAGCTTATTTCACACACACACACACACACATAATGCAAACAAAAACATTACCTAAACAGTTAAGTTAATGTTTAAATCAAAAAAAGGAAGGACTGTGTTCAGTAGCGTGCAGAGGGGGCAAAAGGTGCCGGGGCCCCGAGCATCCATATCGAGAGGGCATCCAACGCATAGAGTCGAATCGAATAGTAGAACCCTTTCCGCCCTTTCCCAAGGTCTTAGGTACAAGGTCCCGTGCATCATAGAACCTCTACACGCCACTGACTGTGTTGCAAACAGCAAGATAAAACCTATGATGAAACAAACACCTTACTAATACAAAACAAACTTAAAAAATGCTGCACCAAAAAACTAAGTCACCAGGGTACAGGCTACAATGTGGGTTATAAGGTGTGTTCTGGTTTTTGGAGGTAACTGCCGAAGTAGGATCCATGTAGTGGTGGGGATACACCCTCTGTAAGTATTAACCTCCGTTCGCAAAGCCTCATATGTAAAGAATAATAATAATGTGAAAGTAAAATAATAAAAAAATGAAGATAAAAAAAAGGATAAGGGAGCAAGATGTGGGTGCTCAAGCCCACAACGTCTCATATATACAGACAGAAGTGAAAAATAAATATGAATAAGAAAAAAGTCCTACCATTGGGTGTGGTAAGAAACCTTACTTTTTTACTCCCCACATTATAGCCTGTATGCTGTTGATTTTGTTTTGTTGTGCAGTGTTTTCTAAGGGCTCGTTTTGTATTATAAGTATATATTTATTCCCAAAAGTCGATAATTGACAAAGGTCAGTTCAACGCTACTAAAAAACCTGGTGAAATAATAATAAGGCGTAATGATATATAGGTAAGATAACTGGTGATGTGAAAGATATCACGAGAAATAAAGAGCTGCAAGTGATAGTTACATTACTATCTTTAGCATCTTAATAGTTGCCGTGTGGATCTGTGAGCCTTTTATCATACGAAGTTCACACTTTATGTTTGTATTATATATATACCGCTACTTATAAACATAAGCTAAGAACTGTTAAACCTATTAATATATATATCTAGTAATTGCTTTGTTAGTCTTTACTGACAATTCTTTTTTGTAGCTTTTAAAAAACTTAATAACAAATTCTGAGCATATAAAAATTCAAAATTTTGTTACAGCTAAAATGTTTGATGGAAACATGAAAAAACAAAACAAACAGTAACATATTTTTCGCCAAACATGCTTTACCTTTCGGACTCTCTGAAATGTTATTTTTTATGTTTTGAAGCAAGAATCATTCAAAAACAAAATACTGTAGCGAATACTCAGCTGGAATGGAAATAACTAGACTTCCATGTAGCTGTCTTTCCAGCGACCGATTTTAATCCCATGGTCTGGTGGTTGGTTAGGGGGCTCAACTTGCAATGTGTGAGTCGTGGGTCCGAATCCCCATCACCGAACATGCTCGCCCTTCCAGCCGTGGGGGCGTTACAATGTCACGCTCAATCTCATTAATTGTTGGTAAAATAATAGCTTAAGAGTTGGCGGTGAGTGGTGTTGAGTAGCTGCATTCCCACTGCTGAATTAGGGACGGCTAGTGCAGATGGCCCTCGTGTAGCTTTGCGCGAAATTCAAAACAAACCAAAGCAAATTCCAATCGTCATTAACTGATCCTAATTTCTGTTATACCTAACAATTCGCAGATGATGTAGTAATTTGGAAGAGTTCCCAAACACGCTCCATAGCAGCCGCAAATTTACAACCCATTCTAAACGAAATATCAGAATACTGCCAAAGAAAACGAATTAAAATCAATAAACTCAAAACACAAATACTTATATTTGCAAAATTAAAGAAACTCCTTAAAGACAACCAGAACTCTGTCTTCACGGAACCCAGTGAGGACCAGACGGCTACATCAGCAAAATTTGTAGGCCTTACCTATGATTCAAAATTAACTTGGCAAAAACATATAAATAAAAGCACAAGTAAAATCTGGAGACGAGTCAACCAGGTTAGAAGTCTGTCTGGAAATAATAGGGGCACATCGCCCAACAACATACTGAAGATATACAAACAATACATACGACCAGTAATAGAGTACGCCTGTCTGGCATGGATCAACATAGTGCCAAATAATAAACAAAACTACAAAAATTACAAAACTCAATTCTCCCAAGTGCATACAAAGTCCCACGTTCAACAAGTTCCCGCTTCTTACATAACTATGCTAACGTATAACAACTTCTAAACAGATCGTACACTTATTTCCAGAAAAACCTACGTAAAAATGAACTACTACGCATAGTGGATCGCTATGTCATACATGATGAAAATTAGCCTAAGTACCTCTCACCCATAAATATGTATTATAAGTATAGCAACCAGCCACCTACTGCTTGGCTTACCTAATATGTCATTTATGTGGTGTATACATTGTGTATTAAAAATGCTACAAAATGAACAAGCGCTTGAATATATGGGACTGTTTGCAATATGTAAGACTTTTGCATAACAAATGAAGCAAAGTATATACCAGTGCAAATGATGGACGTCGAACATGAATAGAAATGTTCCTGATGAAATCATAAGTGACTTTAAGTGATATCAACACCCTTTTTTGTTTGATGTTCACCATTTAACAGTGCAACTAAACACCAGTACAGGAGGGAGGAAGAGGTGGAATATCATACCTGACTCTCCAAGATCCCCAAAAAGGTTCTGGATCCCAATAAAGCCGAAAGCGAAATCTCATTTTTATAACGCCTGTTTAGTGCGAGTCTTTAGTCTGTCTAATTACATCTCCTGTTTATCCAATTAGGTCTTTATATTTTATTTTCATAAGACCAATAGAAATACTAAGGCATCAGAATGCTTTTTATTCATTTTTATCAAGTCCCCCGGTGGGTCAGTAATAAATCCTGTGTTCGATTCCCTGCGATTGACAGAGCACAGATAAGTCCATTGTGTAGCTTTACGCTAAATAAAATAATCAATCAAAAAAATTTTTTTTATATATCTATTTTAAAAATCAGTCATTGTTTGCTCTTACTATACTATCGGTGCTCTTTTACACTGTCCATAGGTTCACGCATTTTCATACTGGAATTCTGAGGTATACTTTACAAACAAAAATTATATATATGTGTGTGTGTGTGTGTGTGTGAATTTATAATTTCTTGCCTACAGAAGCAGCAATGTACTCTTTAAATAAAAAACCGTAAACATCTTAAGTAAAAATAATCATAACGACACATACAAGTCTCCGTAAACTTCAAACACTAAGAAGTCAATTTGCGGTAGGGATGCATTTCAAAGCTCAATGCTTGGTCAAGACGTAGTATAAGCTTGAACGATTTGAATCGTTTTGTTTTATCTTCATGTCTTACCTTGCAATTCACAAAAAACACAAAACAAGACAAAAATTGAGCACTTTGTTTTTGTTTGTTTCAGAATGTTTGCATAAAGATACACAATATGTGATAGCCGTCCCCAGTTTTGAACTTATTGCCAGAGGGAATCCAAATAATCAGCAAAATAATGGGATCTGACTGTCACTTGTGTAACGCAACCACGGCTCCAAAGTACGAAACGCAATTTTGTGGCAACAGAACGCGATCCATGATCCCTGTTTCACACTCTAGCCACTAGGCCACGTCCGGCCAATTTTGAATGGTGAAAATACACTTTGCATTAATTTATACGACCCCCAGTGGCACAGCGGTACGTCTGCGGACTTCAAAGCTAGAAACCAGGTTTCGATACCCGTGGTGGGCAGAGTATAGATAGCCTATTGTGTAGCTTTGCGCTTAATTACAAAGAAACAAAAGTATTACTTTAGTTTCAGCTGTTGTTGTTATTTTTTCGAACAATTGTCAACGTATGAATTTTATTCTCCATGTAAAGTCTAGACAGCTTAGCCTGCTATGTGATTATTAGCCGGATCGAGTAATATGTCCACTTCCATCCCTATCTTGTTTGATTCCATTCTTCAAGTTCAGTAGCCAGCCCTACGTAGCTTTTTTAGCGATATTTTTTTTCCTAATACTTGTTTTTTACTCTTTTTTTTTATAAGATGGCATACATGGCTTACTAGGTTATAGAGTGTATTCCAAAGCTTTATAAATGGAATGATAATACAATAGTTAGTGAAAGATCGTGAAGATTGTTTTGTTCTATCAAATGATGATAAAATTATAGTTATTGCTAGAATTAGGTAGGCGCTAGACCCGTTGAAGAAAGATGATGGTGAACGAAATGTAAAAATCTCGGTTTTGGCTATTCGCCGATTTTTGGCTTTGGGACGCCCTGGATAGCTGAAAAGCGGCATATACATCTAGTTCCTGATGACCTTTATGTGTTGTTGTTTTTTACTCTTTCACTTTATACATAATATAGGGGTTGGCTTCCTAAAGACACCGATTGTATAGTGTACAAAGCATTGAGTATTCTACATGTTACAGTCATTTAATATTCACCTATAACTGGCTGGTAACTCTTGTTCACCTGTACTTAATTTTT